GAGAGGGGGAGAGAAGAGAGAGGAAGAGAGGGAGAGGGGGAGAGAAGGGGAGAGAAGAGAGGGAGAGGGAAGGAGATAGGGAGAAAAGGAGGGAGAGAAGGGAGAGGGGAAGGGAGAGAGGGGGGAGGAGGGGAAGGGAGAGAGGGGGGAGGAGGGAGAGGGGGAGAGAGAGAGAGAGGGAGAGGGCTGGGGAGAGGAGGGGGAGAGGAGAGGGAGAGAAGGGGAGAGAGAGTACTTCTTAGAGTACTTCTTCCTGGGCACCTGGTGTTATCTGGTCCCTGTTAACACCTGCACTCAAAACAATTCACCTTTTTGAAATCAAAGATAATGAGTTAAAAATTCATTTAGGATGAGCTGAATGTCAGAGCATAAGAGCCTCAACTCTAACCAGCAGTGGAAGAACCAGAAGTGAGTGATTTACACCTAGCCCTCTGCAGAGCAAGAACACAGTGTTCTGATTTCTGGGTTCCTTAAGGTTCCCTCAAACCTGTTGCTGAGGCACACTCACGTTTCTAAGAGAAAGCATGTACTAGATATGACAGGCTCAGCCCAGATACTTTCATTCGTTAGTTCTCACTCATTCCATCATTCACTCAACGAGTAAGTGTGCAGTGAATGTACAATGCAGATGCCACAGAGGCTTAAAAAACCCTGAGCCCTGCCTTCGGAGGGTCGTTCAGGTCATCTTTACGTTTCCCGTGGTGCCCATCCTACCTGGGGGCCCTACCCCGAGCAACTGTTCAATCATTTCTGCTGGGAGAGGCAGTAGGCGGCAGAAAAGAATGATTAGGAGGGTTCAGATCTCGGCTCTACCACTTAATCAGCTGTGCAAGAGGCTCCCCGTCTCCGAACCTCAAGTGTCCTCATCTGTAAAGTGTTGAGAAGAATGACGCCTTCTTCACAAGGCTGTTAGCAGGCTGAGATTGCCCACAATGCTGAGGGCTCGGTATACAGTAGCTCCTCTGCTGTTCCTCGTTTTGTTTTCAATTGTTGACGAAAGAGAAGGAAGGAAGAGAGACTGGTAGGAGACGCGGCAGCGGCGCGTCCCGCAGTCAGGGAGGTTCCTCGGCCTTATCCCTGGAGTCCCCGCCGAACGGTCCGCAAGGACGGGGACAGAGCCCCCCAAATCTCTAAGCGGTGTAGGGGAGCTGAACGGCTCCAGCCTGGGATTTGGGCCTCAGCATGGCTGAGGAACCAGTGAGGGCCGCGACTGTGGCCTTCACCCTGCTCGACCTCCTCAGTCCCAACACTCACCATGACTGCGGCGGTGGTTGCTCCGGGTCTCGGACGTGGCAGCTCCCTTGGCGCCTCGGAACAGCTCACTTCCGGCGCCGGGGCCGCAAGCCGCCGGGCCCGCAAGCCGCCGGGCCGTGGCTCAGGAGCCTCCGGGCAGCAACGCGCTAGGCTAGCACAACAGTTCCGCGCCTTCCAGAGGCCGCGCCCCGCCCTCCCGTGGCCCCGCCCCTATCCTCCAGTGAGGCGCAAGAGCAGAGGACTGGCCCTGACCCGGGAGGCTTTGGAATCTGAAGCACTGGTGGGTCTGCTCTCCCGACCAAGCCTGCACTTTGCCTGAGATCATAAATGAAAGGAAGGATAAATATAACTGTCGGCTGGGTGCGGTGGCTCATGCCTGTAGTCCCAGCACTTTGGGAGGCCCAGGTGGGAGGATCACCTGAGGTCAGAAGTTCGAGACCAGCCTGGCCAACATGGTGAAATTCTGTCTTTACTAAAAATACAAAAATTAGCCAGGCATGGTGGCACGCGCCTGTAGTCCCAGCTACTCGGAGGGCTGAGGCAGAAGAATGGCTTGAATCCGGGAGGCGGAGGTTGCTGTAAGCCATGACTGCACCACTGCACTCCAGCCTGGGTGACAGAGCGAGATAATGTAAAAAAATAAAATCTTTGGGAGGCCGAGGTGGGTGGATCACGAGGTCAAGAGATCGAGACCATCCTGGTCAACATGGTGAAACCCCATCTGTACTAAAAGTACAAAAAATTAGCTGGGCATGGTGGCGCGTGCCTGTAATCCCAGCTACTCAGGAGGCTGAGGCAGGAGAATTGCCTGAACCCAGGAGGCGGAGGTTGCAGTGAGCGGAGATCACGCCATTGCACTCCAGGCTGGATAACAAGAGCGAAACTCCATCTCAAAAATAAATAAATAAATAAACAAAATCTATCTAGCTTCACCTGCCTCCCTGCGGCTCTGGGTGTAATGGGCCTTATGATGAATGTTGTAGGTTGGGTGATGTCTTGGGAGTGAGTAGGCTGTCCTAGTGCTTCCTTGTTGTAGTCCCCCGCTCTCAACCCAAGGACTGGGACCACGGCAGAGGAGGCCAGGAATGCCCCTTACCAGAGGTTGAGGCCTCTTGCCCTGCCATCCCTAACCCCTATATAGGACTGTCCCTTCCAAACTGATCCCCTGGGGTCCTGAGTAAGTCCCATCAGGGAGATTCCCCTAGGCAGTCAAGGATCTCAGCCAAGCTTCTGCAGCTAGAGCCCCAGACCCATCCCCACAGTGCCTCCAATCCCAGGTCTCTGGCTTCCCAAGGTAGGGTAGCTGAAGGCTCCCACAAGCGCAGTGAGAATGCCACACTGGAGGACAGAGCCTGGGGGCCTCCCCTCAGCCACAAATGGTCTAGCTCTGGGCCCCTTGTGACATTGAGAAAGCAGGTGAGCTGGGGAGGCCTTGACTACCCTTGGGTAAGTAAGTCACAGTCCTTTAGTTTCCTCTGCTGAAAGTGGGAGTAAGGACCCTACCTGGAGATGGTCACTGCTTGAAGGAAGATGTTAAGGCTCAGGGAGTGGGATAGACCCAGACTGTCAAGGAGCTTTGGAGAGGAGGCCAGGGGAGTAGGGTGTTAGAACTAAGGGCCAGGCCTCCTGGCAACTTGCTTTTCCACCCCACCGCAATTTTCAAGATTTTTTACTGCCCTCTAATGGAGAAATTATTGCAGGGTGCGAGGGGGTGGTGGTTAGGGTGAAGCAGGGAACAAAGGCAGGTTGGGGGGATTTTTTTTTTTGAGATGAACTCTTACTCTGCCATCTAGGCTGGAGTCCAGTGGTGTGATCTTGGTTCACTGCAACCTCCACCTCCTGGGTTCAAGTGATTCTCCTGCCTCAACCTCCTGAGTAGCTGGGACTACAGGCATGTGCCACCACGCCCGGCTAATTTTTGTATTTTTAGCAGAGATGGGGTTTCACCATGTTGAGTGGGCTGGTCTTGAACTCCTGACTTCTGGTGATCTACCCGCCTTGGCCTCTCAAAGTGCTGGGATTACAGGCGTGAGCCACTGCGACTGGCCGGATCTCCTGTTCTTCAAGGAATGGGCCCTGGTCTTGGATCTGTAGCTTCACCACTGACTTTCTAGGTGATAAATTCAAATCACTTCTTTCTGAGCCTCACTTTCTTTGAGTGGAAAATGAGGACAAAGGCATATTAGATGTAAATATAATGCATGGGGCATAATTGTGATGAAAAGAATGTCCTTGTGTAGACACTGATGTTGAAGAGATTGGGGATTTGTGACAAGCAACCAAACTGTATCTTATTCATTAAGGTATTTGCTGTTGGGTATTTGGCCCATAAGGCACTGTAATATAGAGGTTTAGAGTGCAGATGCTGGCATTAAGACTGCTAGGTGTCAGTGCTGGATCCCCTGCTTATCAGGTGGGCAGAGCTGCTGTCTCCTGCTCTTTTGAGTAAGAATTATAATAATACTTCCTCTGAAGGTTGATATTGGGATTAAATGAACCCTTGGATATGAAATTGTGTTTGGAAGTTGGATGGGCCTATGGTGCTTGATTTGGGGATCAGTTCAACCTAAGAAGGGCTGTGATTGTGTGTGTGCAACCCTCAACCCTTGGGCAAACCTTAGGGATTGCTTCTTGGTTTGGGCATATTCTTTCTCTGCCAATGTTCAGCAGAGGTTTGTGAAGTCCAGACTCCTAGGGTGCCAGGCTTCCCTTTGCCTTACCCCAATCCCCAGTAGGGGATGCCACCTATATCCTGTGTCTGTATTCCCCATCTCCTTCCTCTGGTTGATCTAGACCCCAAATCAGGCTAACTTTCCCCGATTTTTGCACCCCCCCCCGCCCCTTGCCCCCAAACCTTCTTCTCTTCCTCCTGAGGTCCCTTTCCCTAGTCTTCTTCTATGAGATGGTCAACCATTCCTTATAGGTTAATGGCTTATGGCAGGGTAAGCCTGTCTCCCTCAAATGGTGGGTGTTCAAAAGGTGTGACCTAGTGGAAAGAGAGAGACTGCCGGCTGAGCTGTGGGCTCTTGGGCAAAGTGCCTTTCCCTCCCAGGGACTGTTTCCCCATGAGATCAGCTTCACAGAGGTCAGGGACCCAGCTGTCCTTCAGAAAAAGGCCTTGTGATGTGTACCGTGTCTGCATTTCCACGTGTGCATTTATTGTTATTGCTCAGTATAGTGTTGAAAAGGCAGACAAATCCCATTAATTACAAAGAGCACAAGCCAAAGATACAGAGAAATAAAGAATGTACAATAAGAGCACAGTCACTTCCCAGCCCCGATTGTCCCAGAGCCCCCCCAGAGCCCAGGCAGCTTATGGAAGCTGGAGGCGGCACCATTCCCTCGCTACTCTATTATAAAATATGTGCACACAAGAGTTAGCAAAGTGTGGTGACCCTCAAGAGGAAAGGTCCGGGAGGGAGAGCACCACAGGCATTACAAAACAGACTTAAGGGGCTGAGAAGGGCAGTCCCAAAGCAGCCTCCAATATCGTTTTCAGTGGAGGGGGTGATGGCTGCTGCCCGGGGCTGGGGACCCTCCTCCCCCACGTGGGTGGGTATGATCTCCACATTAAAATCAGGAGAGCTTGGTTTGGAACTTTGAAAAGGCTTGGGGACTTCCTGCTGTTGTCTGACTTCTGCCCTGGCTCTGCAAGGCCTAAAAGCCTTCAAGAAATGCTCCTCCCTGCAAGATCCTCTAATGGTGGGGTTTTGGACACAATAGCAGGAAAGAGATTTGGGTGGGAGGCTTGTCAGAGTGCAGCAGGTTGGCAGCCTCCTGTAGGTATCCCAAGAGTGGGCTAGGGGAGTGAGGGTTCCGAGAAGGCCCAGGCAAGAACTGCTTGCATCCCAAAGGTGCTGGAGACTCTGAATTAAAGAGCAAGAAGTGATCCCCCTGAAACAAAATGAAACAAAAACAACAAAAATCCGGTTCAGGGGAGGGAGACAGGAATAAAGGTTTCTCCATGATGAGAATTAGAAGTGCAGACAACTGGGTCATACATTCTTTCCCAGCTCCAAGCCTGGGAGAGACTGCTCTTTCTCATCTGGACCAGAGACAGATGGCGGGTCCACCCCAACACAACCAAGGTGGGTGACTTTGGTGCCCAAGCTGGGATTGAGTGGGGGCTGGTGGCCTCTCATGACAACTCCTGGGCTTAGGGGACAGGTGAAATGATGGGAGGAACAGCAGGCTTCCCTCAAGATCAGGATGCCCTTTTTGTCCCTCTTTATAGGACACAGTCTATTTCACAGCCCTGAGTGGACAGTAATTACAATGAGTGGGGGGAAGATGATGGCACAAGGAATGACAGGGCCCAAAATTTGGGATGGGAATGGGATGGGGGTGGAGGACTGGGCACAATTTAAAGTTTCTGTGGAGGAATAGATGTGAGAGAGTAACAAGGAAATTTTGTAAAAGAAGAGTGAAGGGACTTATCCCACCACATAATTAGACATTAGAAAGCGACAATAGTTAAAATTGTATGGCTGGTGCCAGATGAGACACCCAGGTAAGGGAAGAGAAGAGAAGTTCCAGAAATAGATCCAAGTCTATATAAGACGTCAGTGTGTGGTAAAGGTGGCATTTCAACATGGTTGGTGAAAAGAGTAGCTTCCAATAACTGGGAGACCCAGGTCAAGACAGGCTCAGAGTCCTTGAGCCAGTGCAGTCATTTTAATTGGTCCAGTCTCAGAAACAGAACCACCTCCTTCCTGTCATCTCTATGCTGTGGTTGGGACAAGGGGACAAGGGGCCATGGTGAGAAGTTGGTGGGAGCAACAGAGGCTGCTCCTGAGTTAAAGAAAGCTCTGTCTGAGTTGCAAGAAGGAGACTCCTCAGAGCTTTCCCGGCTCACCTCCAAAGATGAGTGACTCTGCAGCGCCAGGAGTCGCTGAACGGGCTCCCTGCCCTTCCCTCATCTGTTGAGGGGGAGACAAGTTGGTGAGCTTAGCTCTCAGAACCGAATCTGCTACCTTCTCCCGGAGCCCTTGTCCACAGGGCAGAAAAGAAGCTACGTGGATGGTGCAGTCCCAAACTAGAAAAAAGTATACATTACAGATATATTTACTATGTTCTGTTTGATGTTGTTTTTTGCCTTTTTTAAACCACAGACATTTCAGAACCACACTGTGGGAGTCAGAGAGCCAGTGATTGAAAGCATAACCATTGCATAGTATTAAATGAACAGAGATGGTGAGTTCTTTATTTACAATTATTGTCTAGATAAAAAAATTCATAAAAACAGATGAATGGTCATAAATTATTTACCCCCTAATGGGGTGAACTGCCAAACGTACCCCATGCTGCTAGATATAGGACGCAGAGTGCAAGCTTTATGTACTACAGTGAGTTTTGACAAACCAATCATTTCCTGTGTGTGTGGATGTGTGTGCAAGTGTGAGAGTGAGGGGTGCGTGTGTGCAAGCATCCGTCATTCCTGACAAGAGAAGACCAACACGAATGTTGGCATTCTTCCATCGCTCCCTGTTCCCCAAGGCAGGCTCCGCTGAGAACCCTGCCTGGCTCCAAATGGACATGGAGCACGGTGTGCAAACACAGCTATCCTGATGTCATGGAATGAGGTCACAGACATATGACTGACCAAAGAAAGGGGGAGACGGAAAACCATGAGAAAGGAAACTCCAAAAAACACCATGTTCCAAGGCTGCCCAAGTTTTACACGCGCAGGTCTTTCCTTCCTCATAGGAGAGCAGTGGGCTGGCTTTGATGGCGTTTGTATTGGAATCCAATAGCACATCTGAGGGCTGGTCACCCCTTTGGGTCTGTAGTTTCCTCTGCTGGATACATTCAGATATATTTCTTCACAACATTCAGGTGGTGCGCTCTTGAAAAGAAGGTCCTCTTTCCAGGAGGATTTTGCCAGGTGGGATGGGCTGACTTTGAACCCTGAACCCTCAAGTTTTTCCACAGCCATCCAGATGTAGGCCCTCCCAGCTGACTATGGCTCTTTTCCCGAGTGGCTCTCATCTTGTTTGCGGAAGAGTTCTCTGGGCCTGGAGAAGGGAAGGGGCTGGGCTGACGCAGCCACTGTGGGGAGGGTCAGCATGAGGAATGGATTTTGCAAGAGAGGCGGAAAGTGTTTGGTTTTCCTCAAAGCATGGGACATCATTGATCATGGTATTCAAAATGTCTTTTGCACTGTACAAGTTTATGGAAAAAGATCATATGCTGAAAAGTCTCAAAGCAAACTTTGTATTAAATACAAAAGTTCTTTTATGAAAAACGCTGAGACCCACAAAGTGCTTAGCAGTTAAGAGGCTGACATACAATTAAATAAGCTCTTATTAAGTGGGATTACTAGTGCTGTTGTCTTGGGGAAAAAATAACCACCTTTTCTCACCTGTGATACTGTAGGGTTTCAGAATGGCTTTCTGTTTGGGAAAGCAAGACTTGCTGTTAAAAGGCTACAGTATATATTGTGACTACAGGAAGACAATTTGGTTTAAAATCACACTGAATACATCTCAATATACACATCATAAGGTTCATTCGGATCTAAATAGTGCAGAGAAAAAGGCTATTCTTCTTCAAAAATAAAAATAAAAGCAGCAAGCCATACTGATCCTCATCCAATATGCCAACAGCTCAGATGCTGCCATTAATAAGGAAATAAACCTGTAAGTTACTAAAAAAAAAATCAACACAATACCATGTATAATATTTCAACACTACCTCAATCTCTGTACAGACAGTGCCAAAGAGAACCTGTGTTTGAAATGCTCTTAGTAAACTCAAGCGAGTTTCATTGAGAGAAAAGTCTTCGAGCAGTGCTTTGCAGATCCTGGCATCCTTGGGCCAGATGGCCGTTAGTGTTGCAAACCCAGGAAGCCTTCTCTCCTCCTCTCCCTTTGTCTACGGAGCATGTTGTTAAACCCTTCAGGATGGCAACTCGGTGGCATTTGGCTTCTGCCTGAGCCTCTCACGGTAGTGACAGTATTGAACGGAAACAGCAGGCAAAAATCAGAGCATGGCTATCATAAAACATCAAGGATGCAACCCAGGGGAAGTGTCTGTCGGGCCGAGCTGTTTTTATAGCATCTCAGCCACCAGTGTTCTTAAACCGTACAAATAGCCAAAGACATTATCTACAGGTTTGTAAACAAATTACATTCTTCTTTTAGGACATAAATAAGTTAAAATAGAGCAATTTAAGCAGAAACAAGGCAACATGCCGGCAAAGAAACTTTATATATCCATGTATATATATTTATATATATTTATATATATATATATCTACCTATCTATATGGACGTATACAGTCTTGGAGAAGTATACGTTGATATAGATACAAAGAAATGGATATAACCTTGTGAGTGTCTATGAAGTTCTTCGGTTCCATTGGTGCAAATCTACTAGGCGAGTTAAGCTCTGCAATTTCAAAAAGTTATTAAATTAATCTATACAACTGAGACCATGCTGCGCAAGCATTTCAAAAACTCACAGACCAGTGGATTGGATAAATAGTCTCAGAAAAGAGTCTGTTTGCAGTTCCCGCCTAAGAAAACAAACAAAAAAACCCCTCCCCAACCCCCCAAAACCAAACAAGGGGAGGACTGAAAGTGTACAGTACATTCATGCGGGGGACGTGGTGGCTGGGCGGGTGCATGGCTGGTCCATGTTTGGGTGGGAGCCAGGAGGGGCTTGTTTTGGGAAAACCGTTCACTCCCGTAAGCCCCCAGTGGAGATCCCACCCCTTGCCTCGAAGTGAAAAAGAGTTCAAACAGCATCGCAGCCAGAGAAAGGGTCTGTTGGTGGAAACGTTGGTTTTCTCTCCAGTATTTGGTTTCCGGTTGTTGCTCGTTGCTGCTTGGGTGAGTTGGGTGCCTGGATGGATGGGTGCCTGGGAGGCGGGTGGCAGCGGGGTCCGTGAGGGCGGGCGGGCAGGTGACAGGGTCCTCAGCTAAAGCGACGTCTCCAGGCTGTGGATGGGGCTCCCTGGACTTGAAGAGGTAGCTGATTTGCTTGTGTCGGTCGTCAGGTTGATCCCACTGTCGATGGCGCTGTTGTTCTTGTTGAGCGATGATGGCGGGCTCGAGTTCTGCTTGAGCGCGGCATCTTCTTCCAGGTCGGTGTCGTCAATGAGGGGGATGTGGGGCTGGGAATCTTCGATCCGGAATTCAGGATGAGCCATGAAGTTATGGATGGAGGTTCGAGACTCAGGCTTTTCTAATCCTTCATAGAGAGAGCTACGGAACGCCTTCACGACGCGGATCTGCAAGGGAAGCACAGGGGTCAGGAGCACCGCCCGCGACCACAGCCAGGCTTGGGGGACTCACAGGAGGGGCGGGAGGGACAAGGGGTAGGGCACAGCAGGCGGCTGGAATCCACAGTCGCTGGGTGTTATTAGCATCGACAGGAGGGGGGAGAGTCAAAAAGGGGGCTCAGGTTATAGGCATCCTTGAGCTGGGTTTTAAAAATCGCTTTGGTTTTGGTAGAAACTACAGTGTTAGGACAGGAAGAATCACCAAGCACCATCAGAGGGATGTTGGGAAACAGTGGTTAAAGGAAGCGCAGTCGACTCCTGCGGGCACCCACACCTAGTGAGAGACTGAGCCTTGTTCACTTTGAAGCAGAGGTTCAACCATGCAGACGGGGAGGAGGACCAGGTGGGAATCAAGTGGGAAAGAGGAGAGGCTATTAAAAAATTCGTCTTAGAAAAACCACACACAGTTAAGAAACCATACAACATGGAACAGGTTACGTGTCACAAACAGAGAAGGAACAGAAAGGAGAGATGGTTGGATGAGCTGGAATGGGAGAGACACATGAGGGCCAAACAGAACAGGAACATCGAACCCAAGGCAGCAAAGCAAACCAAAGCCAACCCAGGGCTTTCTGAGGTGCAGAGCAGAGGCAGCCAGAAAGCACATGGGAGCCGGCGGACAGGTGACATTCGGGGGCGGGCTGCATGCCACGCGGGGGCTGGGAGCCACACGGCACACGCAGACGGACACACGGCTACACTTGGAAGCCTGGACAATGTGAACGGAGGTCGTTTGCACCCAGCGTTTCTTTCCTTCATGCATTTGGGAGGTAAACACTCGAGTATAGACTCAAAGCCCTGGCCGGCCAGTCATTGGAGCTTGCTTTGGGGTCTCTTATTTCATGGGGGATTTTTTTTTTTGTTTATTTGTGCTTTGAAAACACAAAACCAAAAAATGAGGCTGGAATCAGATGGCCAAACCCAGCGCCAGTGGGATTTTGGGCTGTGTGCAACTGAGTCACAAAACAGCAAGTTCTTTCATTTTCTGTCTCAGTTGTGAACCACACATCCTGGGGCCTCAGTTTCCTCCGCTGAAGAATGGGAGGAGGCTGGTCATTGAGGCTTCAAGGCTGGTGGGAGGAGCACTGGACTTGGAGGCAGAAAGACCTGACCTGTGTCCTGGCTCTGCCACGTTGGGTGCCTTGACTGTGGGCAAGCCACACTAGCTCTCTGGTTGTCCTCTGTCCTGCCTCACAGAGTGCAGAGGGACAGGACTCTCACTTGGAAGAGAGGTGTCCCTTCTCTGGACTCCTGGGAGGGGCAGCAGTGCCTATCATCTCAAGAGTCTGATGGGACTTGGGACAAAGGTGCCTCCTCCTCTCGTCCCAGCCGCAACTCAAAAGAGGTGGAGAAAACAAGGTGGCATTGGCACCTCCAGGACAGAGCCTTAGTCGGCTGCTGTGTGCAGGCCAAGTGGCACCCACCTGCAGAGCAGTGGCTGCCCTACACCACAGGCCTGCGGGGAGGTGGGGGACTGGGCGAGACGGTCGTGGGGAGGCCCTTGAAGTCCCAGGACTTGAGCTGTCAGTGGAACCCAGGGGTAGCTCCTTTGTGGGACCCTGGTGGGGAAAGCCCTCTTCCATGGAAGTGGAATTTCTAGGTGACAGTGGTTGATTTTAAGTGTCATCGCTGAAAGTTTGTTTTACTGTTGCAGAAGGAATTCTTTCTAAAGCGTGTTATACGCTTGTCTGGCTTCTAATTTAGAGTGCACAGAGAAGAATTTAACAAAGGTTTGTCATCCTTCTTGGTCTTAAGTAAGACCCCATGGATTGGCTTGTTTTTTCCCTTGCTGTCAGCCATTGCTTATTAGTTAGCTGACTTTTCTCTGTTTTCTGAAAAGCACCTCTGACCTTTCACCTTGGATACTGTGAGCTGGGACTCCAGGGTATCCCACTGCTGGAATGGTGCTTTAAATAAGAGGCAGCAAGTGCCAAGCAAGAGCCAGCCAGACATGGCCTTCATGCTGGTACTCCATCATGGCCACTGTGGCTGCTCTGAGCTCTCTTTCCCCTGGAGTTCCTCCTTGTGGCTCTGCAGAGATGGTTCACATTCTGATCTCCTAATAAGTGAGCTGTTACATTCTTGATTAATTGAAAACAAAGAAGGCGTTGCAGGCCTCAGTGTTCTTATTTGTAGAATGGGAATAGCAGTCATGGCTGTAGCTGCCCAGCCTGGTGCTCAGTGTGTTGAGGCTGAAGTGCAATTCAGATGGAACACCTAGTGTATGTGTGGGGCAGGGGGGTGGTGGCAGGACCCTGTCATGTGACTGACAACGCAGAGGGGATGACACACAATGAGATGAGGCCCCTCCGCCCTCCCCCTGGCATGGAGACAACAGAAAAGATGAACTGCTCTGGACAAGACTGGGGACAAGACTTTTCGGGACACCCCGCCACGGCCATCTCAAGTCTCCACTTCGGTTCTCTCCAAGGCTGAAATGGAAAAAAATATGGGAAAAAAAGCTCTTCCATCTCCCCTCCCTGCCTACCCTAAAGGTGGGATTTTTTTTTTTTTTGGCATAGCTGCGTTTGGGCGTGGGGGTGAGGGGAAGGAGAGGAAGGGACCCGGTGAGTGGGGTTTCAGATGTTTTGGTTTCATCAGCACAAAGGGAACAGGGAGACCCGTGCCCGTTGTCAGAGGGCTCTGAGGAGATGCACAGGCCCCGGTCTGAGATGGGTTCGACATACTCGAATGTTTACCCGGCTTCAAGGAAGCCAAGAGTCTGGGATTGATTCACATTCATTTCAGGCTCAAGGTTAAAGACTCACAACCTCTTTTAATTTCACTCTCTCTTGCTGAACTCTGTGTCCAGGGTTCTCTAGCCCTCTAGGGAAACAAACACATGGAATATTCAGACAGCGGAGAGGTCTAGGGCCCCCCCCACAAAGCAAGCCATTTCCTTGCCAACCCAAGGTTGTACTAAATTAGTTACCAAAACACTAATGAGAAGTCCAGCTTTCTTCCCTTTTCATTGTCTTCGTTTCTCCCCCTAACAGTGCACACTCCTTGCCCTAGGAGTCTTCAGAACCAGGAATCTGCAGGGGAAGTGGGAGCAGGAGGTGCCCTATCTGTCTAGAAAGGTGTGGCGTCCTGAATGTGGCTGGGACCTGGCTTACGGGGCCGGCTCTTGGCTTGGGTGGCCCGAAGGAGCAGGACTTCCACTGATAAACATGGAGCCTGCTACAGCCAGGCTAAGTACAAAGATGGCTTGAGATGAGTTAGAAATGTGAGGTGGTGAGAAAGAGTGGCTGTGTGGCTTTGCCTTGGATCGAAGTGTGAGGTGCCAATCTTGTCCTTGATCACCAGTGGGAAGGTGCCCTTCTCCCCAGTCCTGGCCATGCTGGTAGAGTTTCAAGCTGAGAAACAGCTTCCCTGACCTTCCCTGGAGGACTGGCTCCTTTTCACGTGGGCATGGGCATGGGCACTGGTTCCGAAATGGAAGTTCAGCCTCTGTGGCTCCAGGTCTATGGGCCTGCCTGGGAAGCGGTTGGAGCAGTGGGAAGAATGAGGGACTCCAGAGTCTGACCTCTTGACACACCCTTGCTGTGACCCTGGCCCCATCTGTGTCTTTCTCTGTGAAATGGATATGTTGGCACGTCCTCCTGTCCTATATTTTAGTGGCAACGCATCTGCGAAGAAAAGGGAGTGGGGAACTGCTCTGGAAATGTTGAGTGGGGCTCAGGTATAAGGCACTAGGGGTGTGCCATTAAGTTTCCAGGGCAAAAACAAACTCTCTTTTGAGTGTCAGAAGAGTGCACCGATTCATTCCCTCCTGAGAGTCCTCAAGCTATGTGCCTTGTGACTGCAGTCAGGCTTACCATGTGTGTCTGTCTGCTGGGGCCTTTGTCTCATGGTGGTGCCATGGGAGGGGAGGGCCTGTGATGTGTTCAGGGGCTTTCCTCACCCCAGTGTCCCGGGTCAGAAGTCAGGCCCTGTCCCAGGCCTTTGTGGTCAACTCTTGATAACCCAGGGGACAGGGGATTGACTCCTTCCAGGGCACACCGGCTGCAGGTGTTTTTGCCTCAGCAGGCAAATGGCCAGCCTCCTCTGTCAGGGAATCCCCAGGAAGCAGATCCTGCTCAGAAGGCTGGTGGGGGTGTGGTAGGGGTGAAGGAGTTGCGGGGCAGTGGAGCTGCCCACTTCCTCATCCCATCAAATTGAGGTCCTTCTCTCACTTCCTGGGCACCTGTCTAAACCTCCCTGTGGGAGGAAAGCATACTGGCTTCTTCAGGGACCTTGCCTGGTGTCCAGAGGGCCCTCAGAGTCCTTGGAGACCAGAGGAGGCAGCACTGTTGTAGCCACTATTCAAGCAAAGTAGGCATGAGGCTGTGTTGTCTAAATGTGTGCACTGAGACCACAGAGGCTGTGATCCTGTCTGGGAACCAGTGCCCTCTGGCAGGGGTTTGGTCAGGCTCTTTTTTAAGACCACACACTCAGGAAGGGTCTCAGGAGGGACCCAGAATGACCAGCTGGATTCTGTCACAGAGAGGGAATGTGAGATTCTCCAGGATGCATGACGCGGGGAGAGGCAAGATGGTGAGCAGGGCGGGGAGCCCTGCTGGGTCCCCTGAGAGGATGAGGAGTCAGGGCAAGGACTGTCAAGTCAGCTTTGGCTGAGCCTCTGCCTGGGCTTCTTTTCCAAGACTGTTCCAAAGTTGGGGTAACCATGGGCTACAGGGGACTGATCTGGCCTGGAAGGAGGGTCAGTTTAGACACCACACTTCTGTCTATGCATTTCTGCAAAGAAGCGTTGTTCCTGGACTGGCCCTATTGAATGGTTTTAAAATGATGCAGAAGAAAAGCTGGGAAAGAAGTGGCTGGGGTTGGAGAGGACAGCTCTTGCTTCTAGACTGTGAAAGCTGAGACGAGGGGCTAACTCAGGGAAGACGGCCAAAGGTGGTGGGGGTGCCCAGCAATGGCGGGTGCACTCTGTCGTGGAAGGCTGAAGTGTTGCCCTTCAAGGAAAAGGCTGAACTGGAATGGATGAAGAACTGAGCCTTCACCCCGAAGCCAGACTCCTGGCAGACAGCCCCAGCTGGAGGGCTGTGGGAGTCACCGGGAGGGGCGGCAGGAATGGAAGAAGTGGATTCTTCCCCGGGTAGCTCTTCCTGACAGGACACTTGGTCACTGCACATCAGGATAGTTGGGGGTGCTGAGCAAGGCTAGAGCTGAGCTGGTGCAGGGACAGAAAGGAACTGGGAGGTCAGCTGGCGAGGCCGCCACTAAGGCAAGAGCTCTCTGGTCTAAAGGGGAGGAGGATGGGACCAGTGTTGCCTTCCCCAAGAAATTCTGGCAGTGGCTGCCTAGCCTAGTGACGGTATCTCATGGAAATGTGACTCAGATCCCATCTGCTCAAATGCGTCTCTATTTCATCTCGGCTCCCCGGGCCTCCCCAGCACTGCGTTTCTGTGCTGACCAATGAGCACTGAGGGGCTCCTTCCCTGCTTTCTGCTTCCTTCCTGCCACTGTGGGGTGTGGGCATTTGCCGTCAACAGGCTCTCTGTGGCCCGCCCCTCCTGCTGGAGGTGCTGAGGGAGGTGCTCCCACTAGAACATGGGGCTGCCTGCTTGGCTGTAGGGGGTTGTGTTGTGGGGGTTCTGGTTCTGGATGGGGGTACAGGCCCTTTATAAAGTTTCAAGAGATGAGCTGGAGTCTTTCTCATCAAAGAAGTTGGAGGCTAAGACTGACACTATGTCAGCTGGAGAAGACCAGAACCAGGGGATCCCCTGCAGTTCAGAAGGGCCCGACTTCTGAAATGCCTGGAAACAAAGACTTGTTCCCCATGGGGCCTGAAGCCACAGGTCCAGACAAAGAGCCAGACAAAGCCAGTGATAAGCGCTGTAGATCAGAAGTGGTGTTTGAGGAGATGAGCTTGGCAGGAGGGAGATGAAGGAGGGGCCAGAGTCCCAGACCACGCCTCAGATGAAAGAGGGCAGGATGCCGAAGGGTAGATCAGGTCCCTCTGGGCCTGCTGGCACCCAGGCAAGACGTGAGGCTCAACCCACCGTTTTCTACCATGGGTCAAGCTGAATGGGCCAGGAACTTTGTCTTTTCCGGAAAGGCTTGGAACTTCAGCGTGTTCCAAGCTCTGCACGGGGAAAGGCATCTGCAGGGCAATTAATGCTGTCAAAAGTGCAAGGGGAGGAGGGATGGGAAGCGGACAGAGACTCTGAACTGCTGGGATGGGGCCTCCAGGCTGTGAGCTCCTCCATGGCCTGGGACCCCTGGCTGACTATGACTCTGATCTGCAGTGACCTCTTGACTCAACCATCCCCCTTGACCATGAACCTTATTGCTGTGGGTGCCTCCTGACCAGCTGGGAAAGCCTGGATGACGTGACCCTCTCCTGGTTGAACCCCAATGTGACTGTGACCCTGAGGGGCTTGCTCCCCTTGACCCACAGTGACCCTTCTGCTGACTCTGACTGCAAGACTGGGACCTCCTGTCCAACTCCAACCCTTGCTTTGGCGGTCCAGGCTTTTCCTGATTACCTTTGACCCTGGGCCAGTGGGACACTCTGTGTCCCCTCCATGACTGACCCCTCTGGCTGCCGGGACCCTGTGGTGGATTGGGACCATTTGGTCACTGATGCCATCTTGATCAGTGGTGATCCCTTTGCTGGACCAGACTCTCTGGCCACTTGGGACCTTAACAACCCTCTGACTGACCCTGGTCCACTGTGTGACTGCCACCCCATGACTGGCTACGCTCTTCTGACCAATGGGACCCTCTTCAGTGGCTGTGACCCTTCAGCCCCCGGGCCTGATCGTGACCAGGTGCCCCCCATGTCTTCTGGTGCCCCAGCCCCTGCCCGCCTGGGAGCTGGCGTGGGCAGTGCCAGCCGGAGGCAGTAAGGAGTCACACTCACGCCCGGCTGCAGCAGGAGGAAGGCTGGTCGGAGAGGAAAGAGCATTGGACAACGACACGCGACTAGGGCTAGAGAGATTGGCTACATCCTGGCTCTGGCTGGTGACCGAGGACTGTCTCCTCAGGGCCCCCTGAAAGGAGGCCCCGCTCTTGAAAGTATTGACTACTTCAATCTGCAACGGAGGAGAGAACGAGACAAGTTGCGAGAAGAACGAACACAACAGCTACATGACTGACAGGCGCAATGTCACAAGAACAGCCGCAGCCACGGCGACAATGACAACGTCACTTAAATCAAAACAAAAATACCAAACACACTCCAAGGCTCTGAAAGATGTCTGCTCAGCTCTGGGCCCACCTGCAGGCTCCAGGGTCCCCGGGAGGACACAGGGGGTTTGGCCTTTGTCCTGTGCTAGTGGCTGAGGGGCCAGTGGGCTGGGCAAGGGCAGTGGGGGAGGCAGTGATTAAACATTGTGTCTGGAAGGAAGAGAGCAGTGTTCGGCCTCCCTCCGGTGCAGGCGTGGAGCTAGAGGGTGTGGTGGGGGCCTGGAGGTGGACAGAGTTTGGCCCAAATTCCAGTTCTGTCACTTACTAGCTAGGTGACCTTGGGCAAGTCACCTTTCTGATTTTCTTGTTTTTAAGAAGGGTCAATGCCACCTGCCCGGCAGGGTCATCTGTGAGTGGCAAAGCACCTGACCCACGCTAGTGTTCCACAAGAGGCAGGCAAGACAGGCGCCCCTGCCCACTCAAGAAATCGCAGTCCTTGCTTCCTCCTATAATTTGCAGTCTCCTGCATGCCTTTGCCGCCAGGGCAGTGACAGCAGCAGAGCCATATTCACTGTCCTGGACCTCCCAGGAGGTGGGGGTCGGCTGGGTGGACTGGCTGCCAAGGTCCTAATCAGGGAGGTGAGCCAGGCCTGTGTCAGGCAGCTCTGGGACTGAAACCTGTTTCCAGTCCCTGCCCCAGCTGTGCCAGCTCTGTAGAAACAGCCATCTCCTTCCTAGACCTCGATAACCTCTACACTGGGAGTCACCTCTGCCTCCCAGTGCTTTGAAGGTCACATGAGGTGAGGTTTGGGACAGGGTACAGAGGAGCGGGAGGTGACCCAGGTGAGTTATCTGCTACATTGGATGGAGATGAGGTACTGGGTTATGCCCGGCAGGACGGTGGCCAGGTGGGTACCTCTACACCATGCTTCTCCCAAGTGTGCTGGGGCGTGGAGGAGCTCCCACTCCAGCTCCCTGGGTGGTCTGGGCAAGAGACCCGCAGAATCCCTTCTGACCCTCCCCTCGCAGGGCTGTGATAGCCCCTGTGAGCTACAACACCTGCCCAGACATAAGGGGCCCATGTGAGAGCGTGTGGGGTGTGTGTGTGGGGAGGGGCGCGGACACAGCTGTGTCATGTGCCATATGGCAGCCATGCTGTCTCTGCTCTGGGGAAGAAACCTGCTTCTAGCTGGCTATGCCCTGCACCTGTGCTCCCCTGGTGTGCTTGGTGTGTGCATGTGTGTCTGTGTGTACCTGGGGATGACTGACATTTGCTCCCCACAGCCTCTCCACACCCTGGGAAAGCTCGGGAGAGTGACTGAAGCCCCTGTGGAGGTGGTAGACCCCCAAGCTGACCACCAGGCCCTGGGGGACCCTGGGCGACCTAGCCTTGCACAGCCCCTCCTGGTGGCTGTCCCCAGCCCTGAGCCACAGTCCCCTCACTCACCTCTGTCCTCAGAGCCACCCTTCCCCACCCTCTCAGGGAAGCCCCCCTGGAGAGCATGGTGGGTGTGACCCCTACCATATCACCTTGCTGCCCCAAGAGGACACAATGGGACCTCCCTGAGGAGGTCATGCTGTTCCTTAGCAGCCACAGGAGAGTGCACAACGTGGGTGTGCAAGTGGCTGGTGAGATCTGGCGGGTAGCCCTCCTCCCTCAGCACCAGAGCTGGGCCCTGGGGGCAGCACAAGCACACTCACCTCCATCCCCTGGCCCACCCTGGCCAGGCCTGGGCCCAGCCCCCAAGAGCCTCCTGTACCTGCGTCTGGATCCGATTCAGGCCTCGGAACCACAGGATCTGGCCCCGCCGCAGCTCCCGCTCCGCGTGGTCGATCTCCTCCACGTCCTCGTTGAGCTCCTCCTCTGGGATCTCCTCCTTCTGCGTGAGCCTGCCTGCCTCCTTGAGGAACTTGAGCCTGCTGGTCGGGATGGTGGCGATGACCTGCAAGGGACTCTGGCCATCAGGACGGAAGGGCTGTCCTTCCTGGTGACCTTCTTTCCCTGACACCCGCTCTTCTACCCCCCTCCTCCTACCCACTCGCCCAGGCACATGATCAATTCACTCCTTCACCCACCTCACCTGTTCCTCAGCCCAGTCTTTGACAATTTCTTAATAATATGCTTCTTAATTCACTCACTCAGAGTTTGGGGACACAGTGGACAATCTTGGCCTCTAGGAGTTGGACACATGTGGGTTTGAATATCCCAGACAGCTCTGGTCCTGTGGCCTTGGGCAAGTCATTTAGCCTCACCAAGCTTTGGTTTTCCTAGCTGTAAAATGGGGGCTGCTCTGGGTGTGGTGGGAACTGGGCATGGTGGAGGGTCTAACTCATCCTGCATGAGCCTGGCCTGTGGCTGGCCCTCAGCTCTCCTGGGGTCATCTATTCCTCTGTCCCTTATTGCTCCTGAGGTCACTGGACCCTGAGGGAGCCAATCCTGGACTGGGAAGGCAGTATGGGAAGAAGCTATGCCTTCATTCCTAATCTTCCCCAAAGGGCTTGTCCGTGGGGCTGAGGACCCAGACACCGGCCCTACAGGGAGGCTGAGGTGGCAGATGTCAGAGGCCCCTTCCATCTCCTGTAGGGACAGACAGGCACTGGCTTGAATGCAGCCTCAGGGGCTCCCTGGGAGTGTAAGGTCAACACTGCCCGCAGGCATTAACCTTAGTCCTCTGAGTCCATTCCCTCAGACACTGGGCCCAGCCCCCAAGAGCCTCCTGTAGGGTGCGGAGCCCAGTGGGATAAAGATGGCCTGGCCCCCAGGGTGCCCAGGGAATGGAGTTGCTAAGTCACACCTGGGTAATCACTCTCAAAAGCAACTCCAAAGGTTAGAGGAAGTCCTTTTGAATGAAATGAAACTTCATTTATCTTTTAGTTAACTTTTGTCACTGTAGCTTCTCACCCTATCCTGCAGACAGCTTGAAGGCAAGAACAATGTCTTCCACCCATGGGGTTCCACTGCCTGGATGTCTAGCACCTTGGGAATAAAGCCCTGTAGGCCCTGAATTAGTTCTGGGTCCTCCTCCCAGGCACTGTGTCCTGTGTCAGGAGCCTTTGAGCTGCACGCTGTCAGAGCTGTGATGGGGTCTGGAACTCAGGCAAACGTAGCAAAAGGAACTGGCAGGAGAATATTCTGAGGTCAAAGCTAGAAGGGCCCCTAAAGAGCCTCCAACCCAGGGGGTCCCAGAGCAGGGGCAGTTCTCAGATGGCCACAGGCACAGCACTGAATAACACTGCAATGTGGCAGAGTATGTCCCGCTAGTGATCTCTCTGAATGCTGCAAAGGACCCTGATTGACACCAGCGGGCCACCAGCGCCTGCAGACCACTGAATCGTCTCCCTTCCTAACAAGCTACTTCAGCCTTGAATCCCTGGAAGGCCACGGCTCCTAGCTAGAGTTTAATAAATCATTCTTATTACATTAATGTTTTTGCTAGCTTCCATTTATAACAAGTGATACTGATTTTCCAGTTGTCTTGGTAATATGATGTTGCCTTTTAAAACAAATTTAAGTTAAAAAAAACTGATGTGATCGAGAGAAAATATTACATAAACAACAGGAGCAGTGGTAGATAAAGGAAAAATCAGAGCAGTGGTACCCACAGGACCAGTATGGGACCTGGGACAAGCCCCCTTGCTCAGATGTCCAGAGACAGGGAGGGCCTTGCCCGGGGTCTGGCAGCCCGTTTCTGGGGGTCCTGGTTTCTCCATCCAGTGCTGTCTCCCTTGCCCTGCTAAGAGGCACCTCCTGTGACCTACCAGGAACTTACCTGACCCCAAACAAGCTCTCCTAACCCAATGAATATGCACCACATCCACTGATCCAGCTGTAGTGGAGAGCAGCTGAATGGCTTCCCTCCAAACTGCACGATCACTATCTGGAGGTCAGAGGGGAGCAGAGAGAGAGAGAGAGGCTGTCAGGGGTCAGCACAGAGGGCTGGGCTCTCAGAGCCCTGCCCAGGGGCTCCGGCTGCTTGCTACCCACCCCAGGCCTGGTTAGGGTGGGGGCCTTACTACCTGGATGGCAAAGGTGCCCAGCACGATGGTGCAGAAGATGGGGTTCCGGAAGATGCCGTCAAAGACATTGCGCTCGCCGTGGATCTTGCGGGCGTTGATCTCGTTGAAGAGCTGCATCATGACGAAGGTGTTGAAGATGATGGTGTAGTGTTCTGAGGGCGGCGAGTGCAGGGGTGCATTCCTCCCGCTGTCAATCTGGAACATCTTCTCGCCTGCCAAGTGAGAGGGCAGGGCTGGGCTGGAGGCAGCGGCGGGGGCATCACGGGGGAGATGCCTGGCCCTTCGTGGGGGCCTCTTCTGAGCAGCGAGGTGCGTCCCCAAGACACCAAGGCATGCTTGGACACTGGGGGCCAGGTGGCCGCGCTGTTGGCTGGTCAGAGAGCAGGAGCAAAGTTTCGGCAAAACCTTTTCTCCTCTGGGGGAGAAAGGCCTTGGGGAACTGTCTTCCACTTTTGCTGTGGAAACCTGATAAAGGTGAATGGCCAGCCGTGTAACTGGGTGACATGCTTGTAAAAAGTGACCCGAGACTGGCAAACTGATTCTGGACTGTAAGGACAGGATACCTGTGGGGGCTCCGCGCCGCCCCGAGAGTGCTGCTGCTTGTACTCAAGCATGTCCCTTGCTGAGACCTCTGCACGCTCATGGGGCTGTTACTGGAGGTGCCAATTACTATATGGAGCCCAGGGTTTCTGGGCCAGGCTGGCTCCGGACCCTCCCAGTGGCTTCATTCTAACACCTGAGCTATCACATGGCGGGGCACTGCTGTGTAGATGCCGCTGATGGCGTGTGTGATGCAGTCCTGCATCCTTTTTGCTTTGCTTTGTTTTTGAGATGGAGTCTCGCTGTTGCCAGGCCGGAGTACAGTGGCGCGATCTCAGCTCACTGCAACCTCTGCCTCCTGGGTTCAAGCGATTCTCCTGCCTCAGCCTCCCAAGTAGCTGGGACTACAGGTGCTCACCACCATGGTAGAGATGGGGTTTCTCCATGTTGGCCAGGCTGGTCTCGAACTCCTGACCTCAAGTGATCTGCCCGCCTCAGCGTCCCAAAATGCTAGGATTCCAGGCGTGAGCCACTGCGCCCAGCCAAGTCCTATGTCTTTTTGCATGGCTGAGTAAAGTGGTGCCAGACGGCTTGTGGAGTTTTCTGGGTGATGTCCCAAGACAACCCAGGGCAGGTGCTGCCCAAGTGGCCAAGCCAGCAAGCCGACCGGGACCCCTGCCCTCCTCTCCTCTCCCATCTCTTCTCTTCCTCTGAGTCTCTTCTAGTTCTGCATATAGATGGCTTCCTCTAAGCCTTTTCATGATAAGTGTTACAACAGTAAAATGTGTCCCGACAACACACTACTTTCAAAATGTATAAAAGGTGACTGCTTTTGAGGAATAGGATCCATGTCCCACTCCGTCACACTCTGGGCTCTGGGGATGAGTGAAAGGCCAGCTCTAGGAGGCTCCTGTAAGGGGAGCACTGGCCCCGACTCCACGTGGGACTGTGGGCCAGACCCTTCCCCTCTCTGGGCCTCTGTTTCTTCACCTGTGACCTGGGGGTAGCTTTACTGGGATTGCCTCTGAAGCATCTGTGGAAACCAGGCCAGTCTTAGCCCCAGCCAGTCCTGGTTCTGTGTCTTTTCATCAGTCTGGCTGTGTGCCCTTGGGCAAATCACCTCAACTCTCTGAGCCTTGGTGCCCTCGATTGTAAGGTGGAGTGGAGCCAATGCGCTTGCCTCACTGAGTGGAAGACCCAACCAGGCAGCCCAAGCGGAAGCATTGTGAGAATCGGTGGTGGTGTGGGCATGTGTGCCTTTCCCAGGAAGCCTCGCTGAGGGTCCCTTCCACGGGGCCAGGATAAGGCACTGGAATGGGTCTCAGAAGGGACGAGTCACCCCCCCACAACCTCAGGAGACTCCGGGGCTGCCATGCAGTACTTCAGCACCAGACAGGGCCTTGCACAGTGTGTACTTGGTGCTGGGATCTGTCACCAGTGGAGAAAGCCACTGATGGCTTTGGGGTCAGCCAGAGCTGGGACAGGGTCAGGTCCTGTTCATGACTTGCTGGTGTGACTTTGGGCAACTTACTTGCCTCCCTGGGCCTCAGTTTCCCCACTAGCAAAACAAGAGGGGTTGTGACTCCAGAATGCTTGGTGGGAGCCATGGTGCACCCGGAAGGCAGTGGCCCCGCCTGGGAGAGGTGTGGGTGGGCGAGGCGCTCACCAACAAAGAGCAGCGTGAAGATGAGGGCGAGCTGGTAGACAGCGTGACCCAGGATGTTCTTCATCATGGTCCTGGAGATGAGCGGCTTGTTACGGCCGTACGGCTTCCTCAGCAGCAGGGTCTCCGTGGGCGGCTCAGTGGCCAGTGCCAGTGAGGCAAACGTGTCCATGATGAGGTTCACCCAGAGCATCTGCACGGCCTTCAGAGGGGAGTCCTGGGGACGGGCGGGAGAAAGCTGTCACTTTCTCGTCCACCTGCCGCTGTGAAGTGCTGGGCGGGCTCATCGTGTGGTGCCCACAGGCTCTTGCTAGAGGCTGGAGGCTGAACTGCCCCTTGGCTCCCCAACAGGCATGGAGCCATTCTCTGACACCCTCTCTGGAGAACATGCAGACCCGCCCACCTCAGCCCCATCTTCCCCACCAGGGGAAGTTGAGTCCCCCGCAGGCCCAATCACCACCAGCTCCCCGCCTTTTGGTAAATTCAGCTGCATCTCACCATCTTCCCCCTTACCCCCAGCCCCTGAGGAGGGGTCTCTCTTGGTTGAGGACAAGACCATTCCCACCACCTCCGGTGTGGGCTCCTGCGCCCTCCACCCTGCTGCCTCTTCCCCCTCGGGCTCTCCTACCAACAATGCCCATCCCTTGCCCTCAATTTATCCTCCCCTCTTATCATCCCACCTTACCTTAAAAAATCATTGTGCGTATCTATGACTTAAAAATGAATACATTTCAAGGTAGGAAATGTTGACAAATAAGGAATAGCAGAAGCAGCTAAAACTTGTCAAGGACCTCACTCCTTGTAGGTCACCGCTGTCCAGGTTCTGGGAGGGACCCTTCCAGGCCTGTCTCTGGCTGAGTGGAGCTGGGTCTGCTATTCCCATCCTTCCTCACACCCCCACACGTCTTGTCCACAGCAGCCAGACTTTGGTCCCTCCACACCTCCAGAATGCCCCCCTCCAATGTCACCAGCACGTCCCGTGTCATGAGTTGCAGGACCTCCTCTCCGCCTCATGTCCCTGACCTCGCCCCGGGACCAGGCCACTGCCTCCCATTCGCAGTCCTGACCTCAGTCTCCTGGTTGTCGTCCTCCCCTCCTCCTAACTCTGTGTTCCTGCCTTAGCCCCATTCTCCTCTCCCTGTGGCTTTAGCCACATCCACCTAGAGGCCTGTGGAACACCTCCTCCAGGAAGCCCCCAGAGCCTGTTAGCTCAACAGCCCGAACTGATTACTCTTCCCACCTCTGTACTCTCCCAAAGCCCCATATGCCTGCATCCCTTCCACTCAGCACCTCCCAGGTGTCATCACAGCCCCTGTTCCTGGCCCTTTCTCCCGCCTCCTCCCTGCCTCAGCCTTGCTCCCCCTGCCCCGGCCTCCCTACCCCAGGCCTTCTCTGATTCCATATGCCTCGGGGTCAAGCGTGCCTGTCCTCCTTGAGGACATGGCTTGCCACCAACTCAATCGAAGACCTCAGGCTGACAGTTGTCTCAGAACCTCAGTTTCCTGTCTGGCATCAGGACCTTTCTGGTCTCCAGGTTGCTGCTGCCCTGGTAGTGTCCCTCAAGCTGCCGCTAGAGGGAGCATCTCATCCACAGACCAGGAAAGAGGGCCCGTCTGAGCAAAAGGAAGCCCCCAGCCACCCTCCCAAGGCACTGAGGCTCTGGGCTGGGGTAGCTGGAGCTGCCACCTATATTCCCCCAGATCAGGAAGCAACAGAGAGGGGAGCAGTGTTCCAGAGCCACACAGCTCTTGGGGCAGTGCTGCACTCTGGGCCTCTGGGGACTGCTGCGGGTAGGGGCTTGTCTGCCCAGGTGGCTCCTGGGAGGGCTGGGCCTCGGGGATCCACTGGGGCTAAGGGAGACCCATCCTCGCCTCCCCGGCTGGGCTGGTTAGCCCCTGTGGGGAGGCAGCCAGGCGAGGTAACAGGAGGCTGCAAGGTCAATGGCAGGTCCCTGGCCAGTTTATCCTCTGAGCCTCAGTTTCTGTCTCTGTAAAATGGGATCTTCACAGTTCCCACCTCGTGGAGCTGCGACGAAGAAGCAGTGAGTCTGCAGACATCCTGGGCCTGCCTGCCAGGCTCAGTGCGTGCGGCTGCTCGAGACCCCGTCGTGGCATCTGACCAGACTCCTCTGTAACACTCCCAGTGAGCGACCCCCCCGACTCCCTCTGGCTGTCCCCACCCCGCACCTCCGAAGGTACTCCGAGCTCCAGCCCAGAGCCAGGCCCTCACTGGCTCTTTGTTTTCACCCCGCTGCCTGATCCCCCTTGGGCCCTGGCCTGCCCCTGCCTCCCTCTGCCCTCCTGGTGGCCAAGGACCCTGCCTTCTCTTGAGGATTCCCTCTCCTGCCTCCTGCAGTGAGGGCCAGGCTGTGAGCCTGACAGCTCCCATTTGCTGGGCGACCTTGAACAAGTCATGCCACCTCTCTGAGCCTCATGTCCTCAATTCCCCTGGGGCCAGTGCCTGCACCTGAGCTCTTCGATGCAGTTTGTGGCCCTAGCAGGCTCTCCATCGATGGGTACCTCATCCCCGGCTGTTCTGATGTGGATTACCCTAAGGGCTCCGAGCCTCTTTGGGGGTCTCTGCCTCCCCTGGGCTTTGGTATGGCCTCCTGAGGACCCACCTGCGTGATGCAGGCACCTGTGAAGGCCACAATCACGGCCACCACGTTGACTGTGAGCTGGAACTGCAAGAACTTGGAGATGCTGTCGTAGACGTTGCGGCCCCACATCACTGCCTTGACGATGCTGCTGAAATTGTCATCGGTAAGGATGATGTCTGAGGCCTCCTTGGCCACGTCAGTGCCTGCGATGCCCTGTAGGGACACGGACAGCAAGCTGGGTGGGGTGGCCAGGGGAGTTGACCACTTCTAGCATCGCCATCCTCACCCCTCCACATCCTCAGCTACGCAACTCCCCAGTACACACACCCAGTGGACTCAGCACAGCCAGACCATACAGGGACACCCCGCTCTTCGTGCTCCTCACAGACCCAGCCTCCTTCTCCCTCGGGAAGCCTCACCCTGGCCCCCTTTCCGGCTCTGTTCCCTTCTTCCTTAACCTGCAACTGCCCCCCTTCACACAGCTCCCCCAGAGCAAGGAGCATCCCATGCCTTTCCAGGAAGACCTCAGGGCCAGGCTGAGCCTTGAGAACAGTGGGCACATGTGGCGGATGGCAGGTGGGCCGAGTGAACTGGGAGCCCCAAGCAGCCAGCCCAAGGCCGTGTAGCCCAGTCTCCCCAGCCCCACCACCCAGGCCCTCTGCGGGCCGCTCCTACCATGGCGAAGCCCACGTCGGCCTTCTTGAGTGCAGGCCCATCGTTGGTCCCGTCCCCTGTCACGGCCACCACCTGCCGCTGCTCGGTGTGTGTGCTGTCAATGATGCCTGTGGGAGCGGGAGTGTGCTCAGGCCCTGGGCCACTCAGAGAGGGGGCAGCCCCGGCCAGCCATGGCCCTCGGAGGGGCCTGGCTGGGCATGGCTTCCTCTCTGGTCCCTGCCCAGCTGCCCCCTCTGTCCAGGCTCTTCCCAGCTCCAGGCTGGCCTACAGCTGCCAGCAGCATGCACTGGGCTCCTTATTGGGCCGGTGCCAGCTTGGGGCCCCCCGTGGCCCGGGCCCTACTCATCTCTCCAGCACCCTCTTTGCTGGCCACATTGGCACCCACCCTAACCAGAAACACTGCATCCTCTAACTGTGCTCAGGGCCCATTCTGCCTCTGCAGGCTCCCAGCGTTTCAGCAGGACCCCACCGTCTGTTCCTCCCAACGCCACTAGCCAGCACCTTCTCCCTGGGGAGTCCAGGCTTGTCGTGGAGGCCTTGGCTTTGCCATTTGCCAGTGACCTCCGCCCCACCATTCTGACCCTGACCTCTCTCCAGACATTCATCTTCAATAAAACATTCAGCAGTGAACAAAATGAATAGATGACATGCGCCCTAGTCACTGAGCTGGGGCCGGTGGAACAGGATGGGTGAAGGAGGTCATGGGTGAGGACCTGCAGAGTTTGTGGGACTCCTCATTCATGGGGCTCACAAGCAGGGATGTCCGTGGGCAGGTCAGGAATTTGTGTCAGCTTCCATGCATCTCTCTTTCATTCTGCACATCACATGTATCACCAAGACCTAACAATTCTGGCTCCAAAATCCCACCGAAACCCTTCCTTTTCTCTCTGTCCCCATCCTCTGCCACCAGCATCACTGAGTTTCCTCTCACTGACTCCGGGCTCCCCTTCCAACCTACTTCCCCACAGCAAGTCCAGGATCTAACACCCATATCTGAACCAGTCCCCTCCCCTAGAACATCATTCTGCTTGGCCTCAGGATAACATCCATGTTCTCAGCTCCACTTATGAAGTCCTCTTGACCAGGCCTCACCCACACCCTGACCTCTCCTCTCATCCCCTGGCCACCCCCGATCAGTGCTTGCAGTCCCACAGAGCTGGCCCCCACTGACCCCGTCTCTGCGTAGGCTGCTTCCTCCGCTAGAGGTACTCCTGTCACCCACCTGTACTGCATTTTTGGCTCAGATGCTGCTTTTCCCAAGAAGCCTTTCTAACCCTCTGAGGACCCCTGCCCACCGTAATCAGGCCCCTGTAACTCTATGTGCTGCTCCGTCCTTGTGCATCTCTCTGGTCTGTGCCTAGCAGACAGCGGCAGCTGGAATGAGGGGCGGAGTTCCACGACTTGGGGCACATGTCCCCCAGTGCTCTCTGCAGCTCTCCCCTCTTTCAGGCCCAGCTGCAGTGCTGTGTGTTCTGGGAATCGTCCTGGGCTGCTCCCGCCCAGCTGGCATCGAGCCCGCAGTTCCCCTGTCCCGGACTCAGACTCTCTGAGCTTGTCCACTGGGCACGTTAGGCCTGAGTCTCCACAGTTCCCTCAGTCAGCCTGGGGGCTCCTCCAAGGCAGGGGGGGGGGTCAAATTTCCGCCCTGTGGTTCCCGAGCAGCACGGACCTTTGCATGGCCCGAGCTGTGTGGAAAGCTGGGCGGAAACCTCTCCCCAGACCCCCTCCCTGACTCCAGTCTTGGGGTGGCCTGTGTGCAGCAGTCACCAGGGCCTTCCTGTGGTCACCTCCTATGGTCACATTTCTGTTCTGTCCCGCAGACCTCTCAGCAGCTATTCCCACCGTGGGCCACACCTTCCTCCTCCACAGGCCTCCTTCCTTGTCTTCCCCGCTCCACTCCCTCCTGGCCGTCCCCCTGCCCCTCTAGCCTCTGCCCCTTGGTCTCCTCTGGTAGGTTCTCAGCCTCCACCATCACTCAGGCAGCTCTTGGGTTCTGCAGCTCCTGTCTCCCCACCCACATGTGCCACCCAGGACTCTGTGTCAGGCCTGCTTTCCCTACTGGCTCAATGTCCAACTCTCTACTCCAACAGGTGTAGACTGAGGGGGTCCCAGACCCTTCTGCTCCTCATCCCTCCATGACATCCAAACCCCCCGCCCAGCTCAGACCCCTCCACCACCCACACTTTCCCAGACCTGCACCTGGCAGCTCCACTTGAGGTGTCGCCACTGAGGGCAGGTGACAACTCTTGAGGGGACAAGCCTGCTGGTCCCCCCGCTGCCAGGAAATGCTCTGCACTGCAGGCTTAGTTTTCTAAAGCGACGCTTCTACCCTTGAAACCCTCCTGGTGACAGGGTACAGGCCATGGCAGGTGCTCGTGGGAGGGGGTCCCTGCAGGATCTGCCGCCCCCGCACCTTCTCCAGTCTCCTGTAGCTTCCCTCTCCCGCCCCGAGGTCCTGGCCCAGGTCCTTGAAGGCACCTAGGGATCTCTGCCTCTAGCCCTTTGCAGAGCAGTTCCCTGCCTTGCCCCAAGCACAGGCCCCACCAACCCTGGAGCCCATCCACCTTCCATGGCCTGTGACCTACAGCCTCCCTAGTCCGAGTTAGAGGCCAGTGTCGGGCCCAGAGCCCCCCTGCCAGCAGTGCAGCCTTTTGCTCTATGCAGGGACCACTTATTCAATGCCTGCTGCATGCAACCTGGCCCAGGAATTCCATGTGGGCAGGACCATGCCTGCCCTGAGCAGGGCTGGCACCTAGCAGGGCCTCAGTAAACGGTCATGGAGAGAATGAGTGAAGGAATAGGGATCGTTGGGGGCCTTCTGCTCCCTTGTGGCTCTAAAGTTCTGGGTTTCTCTCCCCAGGCCAGATCTGCTTCCATTAATGTCGTTGGGCAGCACCTTTGAAAGAGGAATGCAGGATGTTTTAGGGCCGATCTCCGCTGGATACCTGCTCCCATAGCTATTTTACAAATGAGGAAACTGAGTCCCAGAGTGGGATTTGCCCAAGGCCACAGAGCAGGTCAATGGCAAAGCCAGGACCGTGTGACTCTAAAAATGCACAGTTGGCTGGGCGTAGTGGCTCCTGCCTGTAGTCCCAGCACTTTGGGAGGCCAAGGCGGGAGGATTGCTTGAGGCCAGGAGTTCGAGACCAGCCTGGGCAATATAGTGATAACTTGTCTCTATAAAGAATTTTAAAAAATTAACCAGGCACGTTGACATATACCTGTAGTGCTAGCTACTTGGGAGGCTGAGGCAGGAGGATTGCTTGAGCCTAGGAGTTTGAGGCTGCAGTGAGCAGTGATCGCACCACTGTACTCTAGCCTGGGTGACAGAGGGAGACCCTGTCTCAAATAAAATAAAAAAAAATAAAAATAAAGAGTGCCCAGCACCTGGCCACCTAGGCTCAGTGAGTGGTGCACTCTCCCTCCGGAGGGAGGAGCAAGACTTTTGCTTTTGGTCTCATCTCTCAGGTGGCTATCCCCAGGAGAGCTCATCCCTGGGGTCTTGGTCACAAATGTTGGTTGAGGGCCTCAGGGACCAGCAGACTAAGAGACTCAAACTTGTAAGCTCTGAGACCAGACTGAGAACGAGCAAAGTAGGCTGAGTGTCGGACGAGCAGCAGTAAGGACTGTGTAAAAGGTGAGAGAGCAAGATCTGCGTAGTATTTCAAATTCATCATTGAAAAAGGCGCTGCACTGGCCACATAGAACAGGTGCGTGGGTGACCCCACACATACCCAGGTCCATTGCTTCCTAGGGGAGTTGGAGGCCCAGAGAGAAGACTTCTGACCCCTTGCAGGCTCCCAGGGCTGAAAAGGGGGTGACATAAGGCTGTGCCCAGATGTGGAGAGTCTGGGGTGAGGGGCCCTTCCTGCCTGGGAAGAAGCAGCAAGTGCCAGGAGAGGAGGGCCCAGCTTCTGGCCTGCTGCTGGGCTTCAGGATCGCCCGTGCCCACCCAAGTCTTACCTTTAACCAGGGTATGCTTGTCCGTGGGGGAGGAGCGAGCCAGCACCCGCAGCTTTGGCCAGATCTTGTCAATTCGCTCCTGCTCAATCTGGAGAGGGATGGGGAAGGGGGCAGGTCGGTGGGGTCGGGGAGAGAAACTGAGGCCTGGAGAAGGGAGGGGACATGCCCAGAGTTACTGGGCTCTCAGCAGCACACCGGCTAGCTTCTGTACAATCATGCAGCACCCCGCCTCCCAGCCTCCATCTATGCGCGCGCCCCTGAGGACGCTACTCTGGGACACGCACCTCCCCCTTCTCGTTGCGGATCCTCCTGTTGAACTCCTTGCCCTCGAGGCACAGAAAGTCCTCCCCAGGGTGGATGATGCCACACTTGATGGCGATGGCCCGAGCCGTGTTGATATTGTCGCCAGTGACCATGCGGACTGTGATGCCTGCCCGCTGGCACTTGCGGATGGCTTCTGGGACCTGGGCAGGAGGGCAGGGGCTATGGGGGAGGGCACCACCTCAGGCAGGCCCCCCCATCTTCATGGCTTCCAGAGGAGCCCTTCTCACAGGCCGCTCTATTGAAAGGGGACTAGATGACTAGGAGATACTGATGGCACACATGGCACATGGGCCACAGCATCCCTTCCTGTGCCCATGGCAGACATTGTTAATTGATCACACATCCTTTGATTAAACCCTGATGTGGTTCGCACCACAGAGTCCCAGTGGCCACCACCTATTGACCATGATAGTCCATCTGGAGACAGAACCATTGGCTGTCTTGACCTGGGCGAAGACTTTGGAAAGACTTCCACGAACACCTCCTCAGATCTGGCCCCAGGTAAGCACGTGAACTTGTCCTTGCCTCATCCACATACACAGTTCCTGCAAACTTGACAAATCCATTTGTGTATTTTCAGTTTCTTGGGGGGACTTCTGCATTTGGGGGCATTTTACTTACAGAATGTGACACAAGTTTAGAATATTTATAAAGGATTATGCTTCATGTAAAATATACCATTTCTCTGCAATAATAAGGATAGGTCCTGCCCTCTCTGACTGTAATGACAGATGAATGTCTGGGACAATCAGGCTAGATCACAGCCAGCCAATCAGAAGCCACAGGGCTGCCTGGCCCCGCCTCACCCCAGCAGCTGGCCCTGAGCAGAGCTGAGGGTTCCCTGTGGAAATCAGCCTGGAGCTGCGGTAGCCCTTTATACACAACAGAAATCAATGGAATGAGTGATTCTTACTCGAGGGCAGTGACGAATAATAAAATATTTGCTGCAGAACATCTTTCAGTGCAAGAGAACATGTCAAGGACAGAAAATCCAGTTGTTTAAGACCACGGCACATTAGAATCTCCAGCCTGGAAGCCCTTAGTCCAACGTTCCCTCCCTGCACACCCCACAGTGACCAGGAGCGAATTCCAGCATCCACCCACCAAGCCACGGCAAAGGGAGTTGGAAAACTACTGATTGAGTTGTATTCCTCCCAAAACACAGACTGGAGCCCTAAGCCCCAGTACCTGTGAATGTGACCTTGCTTGGAGATAGGGTCATTATAGAGGTAATCCAGTTAAAATGAGCTCATCAGGGTAAGCCCTAATCCAACAGGACTGGAGTCCTTATAAAGAGGAAATCTGGACACAAAGACATGCAAAGGAGACGCCAGGCAGAAATCCGGGTGCTGCCTCTCCACTACAAGGAAGCCAAAGATGGCCAGTAAGCCACTGGAAGCTGGGAGAGAGGCAGGGACAGCGCCTCCCTACCGCCATTAGAAAGAACCAGGCCTGCTGACACCTTGGTCTCGGACAGACGTCCAGCCTCCAGGACCGTGAGACAACGAACTGCTGTTGTTTGAGCCACTCAGTTTGTGTGACTGTTACAGCAGCCCTAGAAAACTAGTACAGAGTGAGAAGGGGGGGCCAAGCCTGATTGGCACAGCTCCTGCCCGGGGCCACCTTTCTGCCCTCAGCAATGGGAAGAACAAGGACTGGCCTTGAATATCTGGCCTGTGTCCACTCCATCCACAGCAGCCGCCACTCCTTCAGTCGCCACCACTGTTGTCTCACGCTGGGTCACTGCCCAGCCTGCCTCTGGTCACCATGCCTCTGGCCTAGCCTCTCTTCCCCTACCCTGGCCACCAGTGACCTGTCTGAGTGTCAGGCTGTAGGGCTGCTCTCTTTCAGGGGCTCCACCCTCACGCCTTCAAGAGGAAACACGTACTTCTGAGCGTGGCTGTCTTGTGGCATGAGGAATGGATGTCGGGGAGGGCAGGGTCCCTGTAAGGAGGCCTCTCTAGCTACTGGAGTTGCCTAAGAGACTGGCTCTGTGGTGGCAGGTAGTGATCTCCCTGTTGTTGAAGGGTTAGAACAGGGCCAGCTGACCACCAGCCTCCTCTGGGGCTTATTTCCAGGGCCTGGGGAGAAGCCTTCCAGTGCCCACTCAGGGTTTGCGGGCCACGTGAGCCAGGCCTCTGCCTCGTGCTACAGCAGCTAATCACATAAGCAAACGTGACCTCATTTTTACAGAGCTGCAGGGAGTGGGGATGTGCAGTGTCCAAGATCCTGTTTACATAAGTTACTAATACACTCATGGCGGCTGTAACCTGGGCTGTGGCCCCCTGCTGTCTCCTGCCCCTAAGAACAGAAGGAGGTGCTGCTTCCTGGGAACACAGACCTTATCTGGCTCCTGTCTCTAAAAGGAGGAATTCAGGCTGCTGGTTTCAAAGATGCTGGAGGTCTTGGAGGTGGAAAGGACTTTGGGTCACTGACTCTGACCCTCTGCTCATTGCCTAGGTCTGTTCCCAGATGTCCTCAACAGATGGGCTGGTCAGCCTCTGCTTGCACACCCCTGATGACAGCGCACTCCCTCCCTCTAATGCTCACTGCTCCACTGTGGAACAAGTCTAGCTGATTCTTTTACATGACCTTTATTTTTTTCAGATAACAGAGCATTACCCTGAATCAGACCTGTACTGTTTGGAGGCAGGGTCTTTGGCACAGACCTATACAAAAGGCTCTGGGAACACAGAAGGGGGTTTTGTGCTACTGAGCATATGTGCTACTAAAGTGAGCACAGAGAGCGCTATTACTTTAGAAGAAAGTGGGTGGGGAGGAGAAATCAAGGAGGGCTTCCTGGAGGAGGCGATGTTTGAGCTGCCAACTGAGGCTCTAGTTCCTGGTATTGTGCCAGGGGGCTCAGGCTACACAGATGAACACAGATTAACCCTGGCCACAGAGAATTGCCCACTCTGCACTGGCAGAGAAGGCCTGAGGTGTGAATGGGCCTGAGGGCCATGCTGCAGGTGATCTGGAGGGGCTGAGGCTGAGGGAGGATGTGGGGCAGGGACTGGAGTCCATGAAGTTGGAGAGGGGCAGAAGGTGTTGGACCAGGGATATGCTCCTTCAGGCACTGGGAACTGTGGGAAGTTCTGAGCCAGGAATGAGGTGACTGGGGCTGCATTTTAGAAAGACTATCTTCTAGGCCTCTCTAAGCAAGCTGGCTTCATGAGAAAAAGGAGGCTAATTTTTGCAGACCCTATCCTTTCCTCTGTGCAGTGGGGAGAGGGCTTGGGGACCACAAGTCTGTGCTGGGCTCTGCTCTAGGGTCTCACATGAGCCCGGTTTCCTCATCTGTAAAAAGGGTACAATAGTATCCAACCCTTCAGCAAGGCTGGGGGGAACTCTGTGACGGCACAAACAGCCCAAGCACAGGATGAGCACATGGCACGCCTTTTTCAAGCTCCCTTCCTCTCATAAATGCAACAGGGCATTCTCGAGGCTGCAGCCCCTCCGCATCCCTTCCCACCTTCTTGCCCTGCCTGTGATGTCCCCTCTGAGGCCTGGAGAGCCCTCCCTCCCTTAGCCTCTATGTGTCAAGTCTTCCCATCTCGTAAGTGAAATGCTCTCTATTCACGAAGCCATTCCTGATTCTTGCAACCCAATGGAATGTCTCCTTAAGCTGCTCTCAGGACTTAATTTTGTGGCTCACTCATTCACTAATTGGACAAACAGCTCTGGAGCATCTAACTGCTCTGGACACTGAGGATCCAGAGATGATTAAGACTCAACCCCCAGAGGCATCGATCTGGTTGAAATATGCTTCCCACATCAATAAAATTGCTGTGAAATAAAAAATAAATAAATAAGTTTGGGAAAAAATGACTTCTTTCGCTAAAATTATCCTAGATATTTCTCACTGAGGAAAAGCAGCCAGGAAATGGGCGCTTCCTGTTTTCATTAAATAAAGGCTTTTAAACATCTGTTGTTTCTGGTGACAGCCGTTGTCGGTGACTCTGAGGGCTTCAAACACCCCCGGATAACCCGGCAAATCCCAGACCGCTGCTCTCCTGATGGCTTTATCGGCACTGGCTTCAATCAGCCTTGGAAAACGCACCCGCTGTAAGGGCCGACGGTGGGGTGTTTTGGCAAGGGTGTTTGATCTGCTCTGGTCTTTAGTCTTCTCCTGGGAGGGAGGCAATGTGGGAGAAGGGAAAGCAAGGGAGGTAAGCAAGTCAGGGAAAGCAAGGGGGATAGAGATTGTTTTTTTGCAGTTGTAAAATGAATCTTAGCGTGTCTGTAGGACCCTAGAGATGGTCCGGGCTGAGGGTTACCCTCTGGCTGAGCCTGCTAGGCTGGAGGCACCAGGCGGGAAGTTCATGTATGAGATTTATGGAGGGTAACAAAGAATTCTGTATAAAGGGTTGAGTCCAGGAGGACAGAGCCCAGGAGAGCTTGACAAAAAGCACAGCCACCATAGGCACACATGTTCCCTGAAGGTCGCCCCCCAAAATGGGGATAGTGGCTGCCTCTGAGGTGGGAACCAGGAAGCTAGAGGGGGCAGGAATGACCTACCTAAAAAACAGACAAATAAACAAAACCTTATCCACATGCCTCCTTGGGTCCTGATCCCTCCCACCCCACGTGGAGATGAGGAATCAGCAGGTCTGAGCTTTTATGCTGGCAAGTGGTGTCACCTGCAGCCCTGCTGTGCCCTCACTGTGAATGCTGGACAGTCTGATTCTCTCAGTTTTCAGGTAGGGAAACTGAGGCCGTCTGTGAGGGAATGGCAGGGGCAGAATTAGAACCCACGTCCCTCGAGTCTGCTGCATCACTTGAGTGAGTGACTGCTGTGAAATGGTTTATGATTCCTATGTAGACACCCCAGGGGTGGGCCAACAGGAGAGAGGGCGGACCACGCAGACGCCCTGACTGAAGGAAGTGGAGAAAGATGTGAGGTTAAGTCTTCCAGTCAACTAGCTCTCTCTCTGGGGATGTCGGAGCTTGGGAGGGACCCAAGGGGCACCTGGGCCGACCTCCCATTTCACAGATGAAAACACCGAGGCTCACAGAGGGAAGTGGCTTGTTAGCGGCCAAGCTGGAGGTTGGAGGTTGGTTCCAGGTCTCCCTTTCCCAGAGTCTGTGCCTGCAGCCAACTTCTCTGGATGACCACGCTGTCAAGAGAGCAGCTCTGCCCCTCAGGCCCTGGGCATGGGGAGCGCTCGTCCTTGTCCTCATCTGCTTATCCTCTTGACTTGGAACTACTTGTCCTTTCCTTTTTTTTTGGCAACCAGGCAAAGGCCCTGAGGCAGGGAGGCAGAATACCTGTTCTGATCTGGGTTCACCAGTCACTTTGGGCACATCACCGTCCCCCTTTGCCTCAGTGTTTTCTTCTGCAAATCGGGGTTTGTTGGGAAAGGTGTTTGCACTAGATCAGCCACTCAAGCCTCAAGTCATGCCCTGTTAGTGACGTGAAATTTTAGTGGGTGGTGACCAACATTTTAAAAAAGAAATAAAGAAACAGAAGAAGAGACAATAGTTAAGTGCATCCTATTATTTTGTGAAACTCTTGTTTTGGTGAAGTGTGTGTGTTCACTGAGTCATGACATAAAATACATTTCTTATTGTGGGTCATGATCAAATAACAGTTTGTGTCTGCTGCTGTCTTCCGTTCACCTAAGGGATGCTTCCAAGGCAAGGTGGTGAGCCAGGAGCTCTGGAGGGGTGGGGGAACTGCGGGGTTGGGAAGGACAGGGGAGCCACAGGGTGTGGGCAGGCCAACCTCGAGTGCTGCACAAGCACGAAGAGATTTCAGTAAGGAGATAACACATCACAGCGAGGCCTGAACCCATTAGCAGCTGGTAATGAGTGGGTGTCCACAGGGAGGCTGATAAACGGCCTGTCTGTCCATGGAGAGAGAGGCGTGCAGAAAAGCACGTGTGGGCTTCACTGCCAAGCTCCAGGGGCATTAATTGTCTTTGCTGTTTTAGGATCTTGATAGGAGTGTGGAGGCCATAATGACACCCCCACAGGAGGGTGTGTGCGTGTGCGTGTGTGTGTGCGTGTGTGTGTGTGTGAGAGAGAGAGAGAGGGAGAGAGAGAGATAGGATAGGAGGATTAGACACGTGTGGAAGATTGGGGTTCCAGTCCCATTCATTCTCATTCATTCATTCCACAAACACTCATGGAACACCTTTGGTAGGCCGGGCTGTGTGTCGAGGGCTGTTATGTCCCTGGATTTAGGGTAACAAAATCCACTGGAGAGGGGATGAAGGAAGGAGACCCATGGATGTGGGCCACTTATCTGGTGCCAGATGCTCTGCTTGTTGCTTTAGATGCATAATCTGAGCCTTCATAATACCCCGGAGGGGGTGTTTGTGATACCATTATTATGCCCAGTATGTAGATGAGGCTCAGGGAAGTTATGTAACTGGTCCAACGTCACACAGCCAGGTATGCGGTCACTCAGGATCACAGATCTGTCTGATGTCTGAGCTCACACTTTGACCCTGCTCCCTGCTGCCTAAAATGTCAAAGTCCATGCCTGTAACCTGGTTTCATTTTTCTTTGGAACGCAGAGTTTTACAACATCAGGGCCACTTGGAGGGCATCTTGTCTATCCCTTTTACTTTAAAGAAAGGGACACTGAGGTTCAGAGAGGAGTAGGGAATGGCCAGAGACCCCCAGAGACCAGTGTCAGGGTAGGTCCACCGAGGAGTGGAGGAGGTGGGCCCGCAAAGCATCAGCACTAAATCTTACAGCCAAGGCCAATCCGGACCCAGCCAGGCCTGGCCAGGGCATCCGGTCTGGACCCAGCAGCTGAGTGAATCCTGGGAGGATGCGGAAGCTGGCTCCTCCTGCACCTTGCCTCATGCCCTGGGTGCTCCCCTGGGGCCTGGCAGTGTGAGCTGACTCACTCTGCCCACCCATGCAGTGTTTTGGAGATTCAGGACGGCTTCCTGTGCTCCCCACAGCCTCTCTTCAGCCTGGGCGGCCCCACAGACCACACATCCTATCCTCCCCTGACCCTGGAAGCTCCAGCATTGAGCTCTTGGCCTTTCCCACCCAGGTGCAGATTCAGCTAAAGGAGGCTAAAGACCTACTGTGTGCTGAGCACCCCACTAGGTGTACTGATAGGTATCACCTCCCTTGATCTTTGTGAAGTGGGTGCTGTCAGCCCCCTTCCCTTCAGTTAACTTTCTAGCTCTGTTCTCCCAGAACCCTGATAAAGGTAGACTCAGCTGTGTTCCTAGGCCAGATTGCTAGGGCACACTGGCTGCGAAACTGCATCTGCACTGGGAGAACTATACATACCGACAGGGACACCACACTTCAGGTTTTCCTGAGAGCAATGACCTTTGCTATTGGGTGTGTCCTCTGCAGGGACCCTGGAATCCAGGCTTGTAGATTTGTTACAAGAGATCCTGGCTCCTGCAGGGCAAGAGCTTTCTAAGGCAGGGCAGTCCCTACACCTGTCCCTTGGGGGACCAGAGGGAAGAGCTCGTGGTGGCTGGGTGGACAGCTTGAGGACTGCCCCCATGACAGAGCAATGCCTGCTGGCAGCCTGCGGGTTCTGTGTCCTTCTGGCTGACCCATGCCATGTGTGGTCTACACTGTGGTCTACACCGTTTCTCACGGACGATCCTCTTATGAGGATTGGGGAAGGAGATCCCCATGGGCGCTGTGTGGAAACGGAGGCTCAGAGAGGTGAAGTGACTTATTCCAGGTCACCCAGGTGGCTGGCCTCGTTCCCCTGAGCTGGCTGGCCCCGGGGCCTACCTCTGGTCGCACGGGGTCCTCGATGCCCACCACGCAGATGCAGGTGAGGTCGTTGAGGATGTCATTCTCGTTGTCCCAGTCCGGCTCAGGGCTGCTGGGGAAGTCGCGGTAGGCCACGCAGATAGTGCGGAGCCCGTCGCAAGCCATGGGCTCAATCACCTTCTTTACCATCTCATCCCGGTCGCGGGGCCGGAAGACACGGGGCTCTCCCGCCCCGTTGAGGATTTTGCAGCACCTGTGGGAAGATGGAAGGGAGATGGGGAGCCCAGGGAATGCTCCTTCTGAACGGCTCGAAGTCTGCCTCCCCACCCTAGTGATGCCCCGCTGGCTGTGGCTGGTCATGCAGTGCCCATCCAGTCCATCTCCCAGGCAGGGTGAAATCAGGCATCCATCCTGCAATTTCTGCCCAGGCCACTCAGCAAGTGCAGCCCCACTTTGATGTGTTACATGTTCACAAGATTCATCTGAAGTAACATTCCCACAGCCGAAATGGTTTACCAAGCACTTACAACCCAGGCTAGCAGTTCTTGACACTGCCTGCACATTAGAATTGCTTGGGGGAGCCTTTAATAAATATCCATGTGTGAGCCTTGCCCCAGAGGTTCCAGTTCAATTTGTCTGGGGTGAATCAATTTTTTTTTTTAAATACTCCTCGGAGTGATTCCAATGTGTAGTTAGGGTTAAGAACCACTGGGGGCTACACCAATCCCCTCAGTGTACAAGTGGGGAAACTGAGGCCAGAGAGGAGAAAGGATTTGTTTAGTCCACTAAGCTTATTTCCAGCACTTTTCTGGAGTCAGAGGAGTGTGGCTAATGATGAAAATGGCTACCATCAACCAACTCTATGCTAAAGGAAGTGAAATAAGAGAGACCTAAGTGTGATAATGGGTAGAACTTCCTGATGAACCAGTGGCTTAGGGTGGAGGAGTGGGAGGACTCTGGCTAAAGAAATGTTTGAGAGGATATAATGGAAAACACAGCGGGCAAGGGGCGTGGAACTGAAGGTGAGTCTTGCTGGATGACCTTGGGCAGGGCCCTCTGTGGCTCTGGGTGCTAGACGGCCACTCCAGCTGGGCCGACTGCTGGGCCTGGCCTGGATGGCGGCCATGCTGTATGACCCTGACATCCCCAGTGCCCTGCACCAAGGCACAGCCCTCAGCCCAGCGCCCTGCCAGTGCTTACTTCTTGAGCACGATCTCAGAAGCCCCCTTGCTGTACATGCGGAAGCTCTCGTCGGGCAGCTTGATGACGGTGCTCATGGACTTGCGCACGGAGTTGAAGGTGTATACTTTGTACAGCTTCTCCTCTGGCATCTGGCTGCGCACAGGCTCGTAGTCCTGCTTCAGGTCCAGCACAAAGCCCAGCAGGCCACATTCCGTCTTGTTGCCCACCTGCCGAGGCAGGGCGCCCTCCTTCTCTGGGGGCTGTGGAGAGAGGCATGAGCGGCTGGGACCTGGTGGAGCCTGTGGCAGGGGAGCTCCTGCCCTGGCTGCCACCGAGGTTCTGGGTTGCCACCAGGTGATCTCTGGGCTGCCGGCTGAACCCTGAGGGAGTCCTTGGCCCATCCCCTGCACCCTCAGGGCTCTGCATCCCAGGTCCAGTCCTGGCTCCAGATGAAAGGAGTGAAGCAAGATTAGCTTTTTAAAAAAATTATGAATTATTTCAAACATAAAAAAGAGAATGTTGTAACAGTTATGTGTCTACCATCCAGCTTTGCAGCATCTTAGCATTATGCCATATCTGCCTCAGATTTTTCTAAGAAGTAGAACATTACAGATACAGTTGAATCCCCTCTGCAAACCTCTCCCCATATGCATAATTCATACCTTGTCCCAGAAACAACCTGTCTTAAATTTGACATTAATCATTACTGCGTGTGTATTTGACTGTTAATTCTGAGATAATTGTAATTTGCATGCAATGAGACAATGCACAGAGATGCTGTACACCCTTCATCCAGACTCCCCCAATGCTGTCACCTTAGTATTAATACAAGTACCACAGCTGAGATGGGGATGCTGACACAAGGAAGCTGACCTTGTTGAGATTTCACCGGCTTTACAGGCACGGGCGCGCGTGTATGTGTGTGTGCGCGCGCATGTGTATTTCCTATGCAATGGCACCACATGTGGGTTAATGTGGCCACCGCCACTGTCAAGATTCGGGACAGTTCATCACAAGGGTCCTTGTACTGCCCTGTTTTTAAAGCAATGCTCACCTGTCTCTCTCCCCACTCTCTGGCCGTGGCAACCACTTACCTCTTCCCCGTTTTCACACTTTTATCATTTCCAGCCTGTTATATAAATGGAATCATACAGTCTGTAGCTTTCGGAGCTTGGCTGCTTTGCTCAGCAGAATCCCCTTGAGATCCAGGCAAGCTGCTGCATGTGCTGATAATCTGTTCCTTTTGATTGCTGAGTGGTATTCTATGGGACAGACAGACTGTCCCTTGTGATTTCAATCAGGTTGAACCAACGAAAACTGCCATTTTTGAATGTCAAAAATGGTCAAATATGGGCAAGTTGATGCAGTTTCACCTAATGAGAGTCTGTGCGGCTGTGTGGTGCTGTTCCGCATGTGGCACGCTTCCTGCCAGGAGACTGTACACGCTTTTCTGCAACCTGCTTTTCTCACGTAACATTGTGCGTGTGTCTTTTTTATTTTGAGGTGGAGTTTCACTCTGTTGCCCAGGCTGGAGTGCAGTGGTGCGATCTTGGCTCACTGCAACCTCTTCCTCCTGGGTTCAAGCGATTCTCCCACCTTGACCTCCTGAGTTTGGAATTACCAGTATGTGCCATCACGCTTAGCTAATGTTTATATTTTTAGTAGAGGTGGGGTTTCACCATGTTGGCCCGGCGGGTCTCAAATCCCTGACCTCAACTAATCCGCCTGCCTTGGCCTCCCAAAGTACTGGGATTACAGGTGTGAACTGTTGCACCTGACCATAACTGTGCCCGGCTGTACCATTCTGTTTTTGAGATTCGTTCATCTTTATGGCCTAGTGTGTTCCTCTTTAACTGCTCTACAGACGCCATGATATGAACACTCTGCAATGACTTATCCCTTCCCTGAGTCCCTCCCTCATTTCCTTCTCCCCCTCACACATTAGACACATACTCTTTGGCACCTGCTTCATGCTGGCCCTGTGCCCACCGCGGGGCTGTGTAACACCATTAGCTCCTGCCCTGGAGACTCCCAGAGCACCACCTGCCTCTCCCCAGCACCTGTCACTTCCTCACACGGCGGCCAAACACGGGCTGTTTCATGCCATTGTACCTTTGCCTCTGCTGTTCCTCCCGGGTGGGTCCCTCTCCCTTCCATGCCAGGCAAACCCCCTCTTATCTTTTAAGGGCCAGCTCAAATATCAGCTTGTTTTTGAAAACTGCCTCATGTGTCTGCTGTCTTCCCCTGCATTCTATTCCTCTCTGGGTTCTCAGGGTCAGTGGGAAGCCCAGCACATGGCAGATGCTTATTAACAATTTGCTAGATGGCTCAACGCAGGCCACAGTGATGGGGAAGACAAAGGTTAATGGTTAATGGTAAAGATGAGACGCCTCCATATGGGCACTGACGCGGGATTCACAGGAGGTTGTGGAAATGCAGATTTTGTAGGCGGTTCCCATGTGCAGCCCCCCACGCCCCAATACACACACCCACTCATGCCACTTAAAGAAAATTCATATGGGTGACGCAGGTGGAGGTGGCTTCAGGGGTGGTGAAAAACATCAGAGATAAACCCAAACTCTAAAGAGATTCTGAAGAAGAAATAGCTATGAACACACCTGCGTCCCCCTGAAGTACCAGACGAACCTCACAAGGAGCCCTCTGCATGCTTGTCGTCAGTATCTCTCATATCACCCAAAAGAGCAGCCCACACAGGAAGAAGGTGAACTCAAGAAGACACCAGCACAGACTGGCTGTGCAGGGACAGGGCGGACCCTCTGTCAGCAACTGGACGTATCCCTGGCCTGTTCTCCCCTCTTCTGCAGCTAGGGCTCGGGCCAAGAAGCAGACCCGATTCATGTCGGGGGATACAGGCATCGACATGCAGTGGCCCGGAGACCTGGGGATGCACAGGAGAAAAAGAGCCTTTGAACCTAAACCAGGTCCTCATCTGTAAAAAGGGGAGGCTGGAACACATGCTTTCTGGCTCAGAGAAATAACCCTTTCCTTAAAGTGGACGTGGTGAGGGAGGGTAGAGTGAGGAGGAACTGCAGGTCCCTCAGTGGATGGTATGGGGGCCGTGGATAGGGAGTGAGGCTCACAGCACCTCCCCGGCTCCTATGGCCATACTGACTGAAGGCATCCCGTGCCTTGGAAGAAGCCCCACTCCCAAGCTCTTTGATAGGCTTTTACTTAGAAGCAGAGGAATATTTGACACAGCTTCCCATGTTTGAAGTTTGGGAAAATAAGTTCTAACATCTTCTCTTCCTGCAGTATGCTGTTATTGTGCGCTCTCTCTCTCTCTCTCTCTCTATATATATATATATATATAAAACATATATATATTCGCAGTTTTATAATTAACTTTCTGTTGATTTCCAGAGTTTTGTGTATTTTTCATAACAGCTTTTTCTCCCTCTACTAATGAAAGAAAATGATGACACTGAGGACTTAAATAAAAATGCCTAATTACTTATTTGCCCAAGAGAGCTGAGCAGTCATGCCTGCAAAACACTCAGCATTTTATTACTCTCTGTGAAATATTTTAATTTTCCTCTAAAAGGATTTCAAACAATCCGTGGTTGCAAACGGCAGAGCTGCCTCCTCCGTAATTCAATTTGTTTCCATGAACTCCAGCTCTGAAATCGCCTACATGCATTACTAAGAATTAGGGACCCTCCCCTTTTCTCTTTTGGCTTTTAAAAATCCTGACAAACACAGAAGTTTTGCTCTCGCTGTAGAATTTCCACGAGCCTTTTTATCTCCAGGGCTCCAACTCTGTAAGGGAGTTAAGGCATTGGTATTGTTCCCGTTTTGAGGGACAGAGAACAGGCCTTGGTCTGTGACTTGCTCCTAGTCACAGACCTGTGGAGCGCCAAGCCTGGGGCTGCCCCAAACCCCTGATTCCAGTTCCAGCTTTGTCCAGCACATTTCTCTGCATGGTGTTGGGCCCTTAGGGAATGCTGGGTGCAGCCATGGTCAGACTTTTGAAAGGACAATTCATGCTCTTGTTTTGGGATGCTGGGAAGTGAATGGAGCTAAGATCAATGAATGATGATTTGAAGAGAACAAATTATGAACAACATTTGCAAAAATGGGATTAAGAAAAACCATAGCACGTATCACCCATTAGCATGGCTACTATCAAAAAAAAAAACAAAAAACAAAAAATCATATTGGTAAGGATGCGGAGAAACAGGAACCTCTGTACCCTATTGGTGGAAATATCAAATGGTACAGCCACTATGGAAAACAGTATGGTAGTTCCTCAAAAAATTAAACATGAAATTACTATATGACCCAGAAAGTCTGATTCTGGGGAATATGCCCCAAATAACTGAAAACCAAGACTCAAAGAAATATTTGTATACCTATGTTCAAAGCAGCATTAATCACAAAGTCTAAGAGGTGGACACAGCCTAAGTGTCCGTCAACAGATAAATGGCTAAACAAAACGCGATTTAAACATACAGTAAATTCTGACACATGCTACAGCATGAAGGAATCATGAGAACATTATGCTAACGAAATAAACCAGTCACAAAAGGACAAAACTGTGTAACTCCACTCATATGAGCTGCTGGAACAGTCAGATTTACAGACAGGAAGTCCAATGGTGGGTGCCAGATGTGGGAGGAGAGGGGAATGGAAACTTACCATTTAATAGGTATGGAGTTTTAGTTTTGCAACCTGAAATGAGTTCCGGAGAGGATTTGTACAACAATGTGAATGTACTTAATACTATCATACACTTAAAAATGGTCAAGTTTGTAAATTTTATGGTATTTTATGCAAATTTTTAAAATAAAAACATAACTTAAAAAGCTCCCAAACAGGCCGAGTACAGTGGCTCGCACCTGTAACCCCAGCACTTTGAGAAGCTGAGGCGGGCAGATCACTTGAGGTTGGGAGTCAAAATCCCATCTCTACTAAAAATATAAAAATTAGCTGGGCGTGGTGGCAGGCACCTGTAATCCCAGCTATTCGGGAAGCTGAGGCAGGAGAATCGCACAAACCTGGGAGGTGGAGGTTGCAGTGAGCTGAGATCATGCCACTGCACTCCAGCCTGGGAGTCAGAGCAAGACTTTGTCTCAAAAACAAACAAAATAGCTTCCAAACAAACCCCATGGCACGGTAAACTGCAGTAAATGCAATGTGATGATTTTTCTAAGAGGCTATTAGAAAACAACTTTATGATAATTGGCTGTCTCTGGTGACCCAGCCTGCATCCTTTAAAGGACAGGCATCAGCAGTGAAGCCT